AAAAAAAATGGAGAAACTACTGTAATATATACAGCGCCTATTTTCCAACTGATATAAAAGAAAAACTGACTCCAACTCCAAACAAGCAAACAGAACTGAGCTAGGAGTCATCACATTGAAAACACAGGTAAAACAAAAACATTTTATTTATTTATTCATTTTTTGATGGTTTTGGGATGTGGCAGAATACAGTATAAAATTACCTGAATGTTATTTTCCTTTTGAATGCATTACTTTTTAGTGTTGGACTGTGTCTGATAGTAAGGAGGAACTAATTTGTTCTAGCTTTGAGAGGAGCTGACACAAGCCAGGTAGCTACACATTGCAATTAGTCAACCCTCATGTCACATGACAGTGTATAGTGCTCTAGAGCAACTCCCCCAAGCTTTTTGGCATCAATGACTGGTTTTATGGAAGTGACTTCATCACAAACTAGTGGGAAGTTGTTCTCCAGACAGGTTTTGTACTCTAGTAATAGCTTGTAGGGTTGCTACTACATAAAAAAATGCTGGTCAATGTTCAAATTAATATATCCTTGAGAGCAATATCAACAAATAGATGATCTATGGAATAGGACTGGTTCTTGACTCTGGCGGGGCAAGCCTGCTCTATAGAATTAAGAAATAATAATCCAAATGCTATCTTTAAAACAATTTTTTTATTATGCTTGTGAAAGTCTGCTTCTGAGTTTTTATCAACGTATGACAAAAAGTATTCTGAAATGTTATGTTAACTTTTGTATAAATAAACACTGCTTTAAAAATAATGAGTATCATTTCCTTCAAACAATCAGTTGTCTAAAAAATGAAATAAACATTAAGAGCTCAGCACTTATTCAAATTAATTTTAATGAACTCTACTTAATTTAGGTTCTTCATACTGCCAACTACAATTAAATGTTATGAAGTGAATTAATCTTGATTTATTGATGACAAATCTAAAAGGCAAACATGACTGCAAAGGATTAATCATATTTTGAAGGAGGTGTGTCAAAATTTTAGCCGCTCACTGCCTCTGACAGCCTCTCTGAGTAATAAATTGAAACCCCAGCGTTTTTCCCCATCATTGTTGTTTCCTCAGATTTCAGYGCAATGTAAACACGCCGTCAACAGCACAGGATAATCGTGATGCAGAGAGGCCCTCATTCTTTCTGTTCTGTCCATCCTGTGACTCAGAGGAAGCATGGTATCTTTGAAAACGGAGGRCCTTGTCTTTGCCTTCTTTATTAACGTTGAAAAATGGGAGGAAAACAGACTCCACACTGCAACACAGAGTGGGATTATACTGTAAATTCAAAAGTGCTCACCTGTACTCACACTCACACTAGATATATACCCAAACACACAATGTACATCCTCGCTTCTAGACAGTGGCATRCAAGGACACAACTTTTRCRCRTATCCAGTGCTTTATCAACATCCTTTACTAAATCCAAGGAGCTAAAAGAGGGAGACAGCAGTTCAAATTCAGTTAAAGCACATAGAAGGAAAGCAAAGTCTGTATTAGTGCTTTCCTTTAACCATGCTACTCCATATCAGAGGGAATGCGTCAGCCCTACCATGGTTAACACTCAATAAAACATCAAAAGGGATGAAGCTCTGAGGTCTGGACAAATACACACCCACACAGATACCAGATACAACAACTCTTCTTTTTTCCCCCCCGATTCCGATGCACACATGCACACACTCATTTGCATAAAAACACATCCTGCGTAGGTAAAGCTCACCGGCTGAAATGAAATGGCAGAATAGATAACTTTGCATCTACTTAGAGAGAAAGCAAATACAGACTGTATCAACTGAATGCCAAATTTCAATTTCAATAGAGCATTTGTGTGCAGTAGCAGCTGCAATCAAGCTATATATCCATGGGAACAATTGGCAATTTTGTAGCCAGTATAGGCTGTCAATGACAGGTACACAGAAGCTGTCATCAWCTTCCTATCAGGCTCCACTCCCCCCCAGTGGATGTTTGAAAGAGGAGAAAGACTTCTTTTGAAATTTTTATATCCAGAGGCAAAGACATTTAATGGTCACTGTTTTTGCATGTTACGTTAGGAGGTGGCTTTATAAGCATCTGTCCATGCCAAAAACAGGGCTGTGACTGGCCTAGACACGTCATTCATTATTCATTTATTTTAAATATTTTAGAGCACCGACAGGATGCTCATGAAATAAAACTCTAAATCATTGTGTTACAAGAAGAGATAGCCTTGCACTTGTCTGGTATTGATTAGGATGGCAGTGCTTTCACTCTTAACATTTTATCGCACTTTTTTTTTTAAAAAAATTMTATTAATATGCACAAAGTTCTCCTTAAAGTCTTCTTTTTAAATTGAAAGAAACTGGGCAAGTGAGAAAGATTAAAGACAAAAATCAATATTTCATCTCTTTCTCTTTGGGAAAGAGCATGAAAAACAGAGACCAAAGAGACTTCGAAAAAGATGCATTGCTTGACCAGAAGTGAATCGACTGAAACTGAGAGTACAGATAAAATGTAAGGCGACTGAGATGGACACAATCAGTTCTCTGT